TTTTCAATTCCATCTGGTAAATAGGGGTCATAAAAAATGACAGTAAAGCCAAAGGCTTTGGCACGCAGAGCAACTGCAGAACCAATCCTGCCTAATCCAACTATACCAAGCGTGTCACCCCGTATCCTTGCACATCCTGTTGCAGCTTCCCTAACCTGAAAGATATTGAATATGAAGTTAGATTTTCAATATTTCTGCAATGTAATATACAGAATGCACAATACATGTTAAAATTCTTACCTGTTCAGGACCTGTGAATTTCTTTCCTTCGCGTACCATGTTTGCCAACCAATACGTACGTCGATATAAATTTAGAATGAGACAAAGTGTAGTGTCGGCTACTTCTTCAACACCATATCCAGGCACATTGCACACAGCGATGCCAAGTTCTCCTGCTGCTTTGACATCTATATTATCTACCCCAGATCCAATTCTTACAATGATTCGTAATGTTTTGAATTTTTCAAGATCTTCCTTTGTCAAAATTATAGTGTGCCACATTAATGCACCTACTGCCTCATTTAACACCTACAGAGAGGTTACAGTAACATCCAGATGAATTATTGCAGGCAATAAAAGATACTCAGTATTTATTCCAAGCAGGTTTTAATAACACAGATTGTGCATCAAGTGTCTTACCTTTTCATGAATTTCTGATGTAGACTGTGCATCACAGAAAGCTACTGTTGCAACATCTTTAAGAATAGGCATTTCAATAGAACAGTCTCGACCATCTAATAAAGCCACTAATGGTCGTGTCTGAATGGGTCCATTTGCAATAGGACCCCTCAGGCTATCCATTCGAGGGCGTTTGGGCATCATCTTCCGTTTGTCCATCGGTCAAACAGCCCCCCCAATTTTTATATTTTTCACTTGTACTTTCAGTGTCACTAAGAATGTCTGCTTTCTTCCAAGGAAGTCCTATAGTCCACTGATAAGGAAGCTTCTGAATATGTCTTAAAATACAGTTTTTCACTTTTATGCTTTGTCACACAAATTGCTTCTGTAACACTGATTTCTGGTCGGTTTTTGGACAAGGACCGCCGAACCTCCAACGCATCACGACTTGCTGAATACCGTCTCCTGAAAATTTCAAATAACAAATCTTTTTAGACATGGATCATTTGAAATCTGGCATATTTTATATGTAACAGAGTAATGGTCAATACTGTATTATCATTAATAATAAGTATTAATGGTGTTACAATATAATAATTAAAATATCACTTCATCAAGTAACTGTTTACATTTTATTAATCAATTGTATAACTTTACAATTAGTGTAAACGGTACGAAATTATATTTTGTAATGTTTGGAATATAAATTATACAAGGAAAAAACAATTTACAATAGAATTTCTAAAAAAAAAATATACTTATTCTTATTTATATTCATATTTATATTTAAAAAATTGAGAAAGAACGTATACGTATAACAATAGATATAAAATATGTGTTTTGGTCGATAAACATACATTTCGACGCCTTCGTGAATTTCTTTGTAAGAAAGAAATCCATGTAATACGTATGGTTGCGAATTATTTGACTTGCGAATCCAATATTATACAATGAAGAGTATCGACGAGATATCAGTCTTAATCAAATGAGAAAATTTTGCAATACTTTACATTACAGAAAGCGAAACATTTAACAGCGTGTACGGAAACCGAATGTTTTAGGTTACCTTGAAACGCGCCGGCTTAACCTGCGCAGTACGTGTGTTCAGAACACTGATAGAAGCGCTCGGAAAATATAAGAAGTCTCAAGAATATAATGTCGGTGTTATGTCAAACAAAAATACGTATGAACTTTCCACACTTCGGTGCGAAACAACAGTAAAAGATTGCACAGGACACACCATGTATCGAGAACGAAATTACTAGCTGGGGCAAATGTTTTTGGAACTGTTAATAGAACGCCTGGCTTTGGTTAGTGGGTCGACGTTTTCAGCCCATTTTCGGCAGCAATTGTAAACCAATCACGGTGCATTTGCACGCTTGATGTCCGATTAACCGCTTAGTAACTCATAAATTCCAGTTTTCAGTAGCCTACTATTTACTGGTATAACTAATACGGAAGCAACTATACGAAAACAGAAAATATGTTCGATCAGAGTCGATTTAGTACCCGGTGCTTTTATATGGCGGAACGGAAAAATGCTGAACCAGCGAAGTTCCATAAGAAAGTAGAGAAACTGACACGTGGCGCCCTCATCAGACGCCGTCACCACACGATACTTAACCAAGATCATCAAAAATAAATCAAAGTTTCAAGAAAGTACTTCAATATGGTATTCTTGACAATTGACACAACATATTTACTTCTATATGGTAATACAAAATATTCATTGATATATTTCAATTTGAACAAACTTTTTCTCTTTCTGGTCGAAAATAGAGAATTCTATAACTTTGTACTAAAATTGCAGTCAACCGCATGCCTGATGTTATACCTCAGAATCAATCATATTAAAAATCGTCTCAAATCAAGAGATGCTTAATTTTCTCATTTGTTGTATCAATGATTTTTTTCCATACAATTTTTTCATTGGCACCCATGACGACACAGATTGAGATCTCGTTCGTCACGAGTGCTCGTAGAGATTTCATCAGCGAATACATAATTGGTTGGGCCATCGAAGTGGAAACATTCCATGTGGTAAGGTTAATATAAGATAAATGATACACATTAAAAGCGTTTGATCTGTCAGTCAATACATACAAGCAATCGGAAATACAGTCCGCAGAGGCTACAAAATGAGATCGCTGCTGGCCTCAGCGAAAGCGAGGATGCGATACTAACGTAGAGTGCAAACCCAAGCACTTTGACTTGGGCACATGTTGTGCCAACTCAGCGAAAATGCAAGCTCATATCATCAAAAGGAGGAGAGGCAAGGAAGCGAGATTAAGCCCTTGTTCGACAGCTGGCAGCGTATATCATATGTAATACACGGTAGATAGTATAGAGAGCAATGTGTTAAGGAAGTACGCTCAGAAAAAATGCTTTAATATTAATTATTTGTCACGCTTGC